GACAGGGGAAAAAAAAAAAATAATAAAAAACCCCCGTATAATTCCCTTCCATCCCCCCCCTCCCCACACACACACACACGTACATGCATGCATGCATACACACGCAAGTACTCTCTCTCTCTCTCTCTACCCAAAACGGATCAAAAAGTAAAAGAACAACAACAAAACAACAAAACAACAGATATAATACGCCAAGAGAAGAAAGAAAAAAAAAAAAAAAAAAAAAAAAAAAAAAAAGATACAAACACACAAATAATATATCAATAATAAAATATATAAATGTATAACTGACGCTACTCGCATTGCAGATGTAATTCTTAAACGTAATACTCCTCCTTTTGTTTCTTTCCTTCTTCTTACTTCCTCTTTTTCTATGTAATTGGTTGAGTGTAACATTGACGTGTATGCGTGGAAGGATGTCCACTTAACATATTCCTTTCTTGCTGTCTCTCTTCCTTTCGTCCATCTTTTTATTTTTATTCGTCTTCGTCTTCGTATTTCATATTTAAAAAACAACAACAAAAAACAACAACAACACATACACACACATAAACAGCAGGAAAGTCTCTGCTCCTCCTCTTCCTTCTCCCCCCACGTTCCTTCCACTTCATGTCAAACCAATTCTATTGATTGATCCCTACCTCTCTCCCCCCTCAAAATTGGGAGTCGACATGGCACAGACTACTCATACTTCAGCTGCGCTCCAAGCGGGCTATTATCATCACCAATTTCCATTTCTGCCATATCTGGCGACACACCGCCGCGCTGAATCTTCGTGATTTGTCGGTGTACCGCCCGCAAGGATTCATTGCGCTGTCGCACCGTCGCCAGCAATTCATTATTGATGCGCTGCACGCTTCGCTTCTGTCGTTCCAGCACCTCCTTCTCACGCTGCGCCTTCAACATCCAACTGTTTTCCCCGTCTTCGGTGCCAAAGCCGCGGTCAATGGTGATATAAACATCGGGGGTATGCGTTGTCATCCCAGCCAGTTGTTGCTCCAGCTTGTAGTACGCCAACTGCAACTCCCGCACCTGAGTACGCAACTCATTAAAGCGCTTTTCATCGTCATTTCGGCTCATTTCAAGCGCATCCCTCGAGGCAATCACGCGACGTAGTTCCACTAATGTTTCCCGTTTCTCCATTCCCGCCCGCAGCATCTCGTCTTTTGCCTTGTCGGCGTTGTTGCATTCCTCTTCCAGTGCTGAGCGCAGGGTTGTGATCATCTCCTGTAATTCCTTTATACGTATTTCATAGTCCCTCACAATCTGTGCGCTCTCACTTATGGACGCCTTGCACTCATTCCGCACGCGCTTTAGCTCCTGCGTAAACTCATCCCTCTCACGCTGCATGGAACGTCTCTTCTCGGCCTTGTCGTGTCGCTCCTTCTCCAGTTGCGCGTGCAGCAGTCCCAACTCTTCTTGATACTGCGCCACCTGTTTCTCCAGACGCCGCTGCAACTGCTGAAATTGCCGCTTTCCCGTGTCCTCTGCCTCTTGCAGCTCGTCTTCTTGAGACGTGCTGCCACCGCCGCTCACCACGCTGCATGTGCCAAGCATGTTCCGCGACGAATGCTCCTCTACAATCTTCTCAATAAGCGCATTGTTATTCTGCTGCAGCTGTTCCAACTGGTTTGTCAGTTCCTCCACCTGCCGTGAGAGTCGTTCGCGCGCGCTCTCACTATTCTGAATTGTCACCTGCATATTAAGCCGCTCCTCTGAAGCCTTTTCAATGAGCAACTCCAAAGACTTCACTTTACGCCGTAGTCGCTGCGGCTCTTCTGCGGCTTCCGCGGCCAGAGCACGTAGCGTCATAAGCTCATCCTTCGCTGCTCCGGAGCTAAGTTCATACAAGACTTTCTTTTGGCCGAGCATCTCTATCATTGCGTTGAGGCGTTCCTGCTCCAGCAGCGCACGGCTATACGCCTCACCACGTGCACAATCCCATACCGCTTGTTCCCACAAAATACCAGCGAGATCAACACTATCACCAGCGTGACTACCCACACTACTGTTCATTTTGCCTTTGAGTGCGGCGATGCGCTTTCCACGTGCGGAGAGGGTCCTGCGGAGAAATGATGATAAAATACTGAGCAAATCCTGGGAGTAGCGCAGCCAAATATAATACCGCTCTGACATTTCCGTCTCTTCAAGAAGAAGTTGTTCAAGCTCATTAATGTCCCCTGTCTTTGTCGCCGCATCCTTTTTAAGCTTCGACAGTTGCTGCTCAACCCGTGACACACGCATGAGCAGATCGATGTTTGTCTTCTTCTCGCTTAAATACTCCGCGCGGACGCTCTCCAGCTGCGCGACAAGTCCGTTCTTCCCCTCCGCCGCCGAATTCGCGCCACGTTCCGCACGCAGCATCGTCCGCGTAGCCGCCAAGTCGGACTGCGCCATATCGAGCGCATGCGCTTTCTCCGCAAAGCGCTGCTGCGTCTCTTCCAACAACTGTGCCATGGCGTCTTGCTCCTGTTGCAGCATCTTCATTTTTTCCTGTAGACTACTCTTTGCCTTTTCCGCTTCCTCAGCGCGCTCCTGTTGCGCCTTCACCTCTTTTGTGAGTACACCGACACGACGTTCTAACTCCTCCTCGTGACGGCGTGACCGCCCTGCAATGACAAGTGGCGGTGGTGCTTCAAATCCACTAGAACCAACGTTCTCTTTCCAGGCAGCGGACGGTGACTGACTCGAGCCAACTCCCTCTCTTGTATCAACAACAGAACTACTCGCCACATGCTGTTGCTGCTCTATTTGTTGTGAAGACGTCTCACGCCTCACCGTCTCCTCACGGTAACGCCGGAGCGATTCTTGCAGCTCGCCATCTTTACGCAGAAGTGCTTCATGTAGTTTCATAATTTCCCCTCGTTTTTGGGCCAATTCTTCACGAAGCGCCGTTGTGGTGGAGACAAGTTGTCGTTGAACCTGATTCTTCTCCTTTTGAAGCTGCGCATTGTCCTCCTCAAGATCCGTAATGCGTCGCTGAAGTGTTGCCACCTCCGTTGCTGGCACCATCGTCGACATTGTTGCCCGCATAGAATCTATCTGTGCCTCAAGTTCATCCCTTTCACGACGGAACGCCTGAATTTCCTCGCGGTGTACCTCTGCCGCTTTCCCCTTCTCTAACTGCAGTGTCAACTTCACAATTTGCTGCCGCATGGCCGCAATAAGTTTTTGAAAGTGGTGGTCCTCGTTGACTGTGGCAACGTTGATCACCTTCTTTGTCACCCCCGCAAACCGAAGTGTGTTAATTGTCTGTTGGTAACAGTACGCACTGGGCGCAATGGTGGCAAGCATGATCGTTTTGCTGTTTCCACCCAAACTATCGGATAGCAGCCAGGTGAGGACACTATCGCGGTATGCGGGGATGACATGTTTACCAGATTGTTTTTCCGACAGCTGCAGAATAACACGTCCGAGTGTGGTGAGGGACA